ATATATCCCTAAGATAGTTGTGCCTTCTGATAGCTATAAGATACTTTGAAAGCATGCAAATGTATCTGGAAAATACTTCTGCCATAAGATGCTTTGAGAGTGTGCACAGAATATCTATAAAATATTTTAACCTTAAGATACTTTGAGAATATCTTAAATGTATCTTCAGATATTGAAAGTATCTATAAGATACTTTCATTATTTGAAGATGATGAAAGAAACGTATGGAAATATACGGTAGAGATAGAGCCATAGTATGTATCTATTAGATACTTGTACTCATAGATACATTAATAAAAACTATAGATGCAACGCAAGGCTGCAACCACCCCAAAAACGACTGCAAATTTATATGAAACATACCATATTTATAGGCATATATACATATACATGAAAGAAGCTTTTCTTCTTCTCTTTCGTCATTAATCTCTTCCTCTTCCTGTCGTAATTGAATTTCATTTGCCATATGGCGCATTAATTGTACGTACGCTGCTTGTTTGCAGGCACTGTTCAAGCAATTGGCATATATTAAAATGGGCACATTAAAAAGGAAGTTGCATGCGGGCGAGGGTTGGGGGCGTGGCATAATTCGCAAAAAAAAAAAGAGAAGAAAAAATTTGTCGCTTGTGTCGCATAAACAACACAATGGAAAATATTTCAATTTATTGCGAATTAAATTAAATTGAAGCGCATTGAAAAGGCCGCCAAAAAAAAATCCCCAATCAAAAGCGACAGCACGGTGGAGGGTGTGCATGTGTATGTGTGTGTGTACGTTGGCGGCACACTTTGGACGTGCTGTCAATTGAGCTTTAATTGCCATGCGGCTCATTGCGCATACGCCGCGTGAGCCGCAAGCAAAAGAGCAAAGCTCTGCTGCCCGTCCTCCCTCTCAACCTTGCTGCACATACAATGTGCAAGAGAGGTAGATAGAGAGAGAGAGAGAGAGAGGGAGACATATGACAAGTGTCATTTGCTCTGCGCATGTTTATGAGGCGCTGACAGCTCAAAGCCTAAGCGCAACTGGACTTCACTTCAACTAGAACTTGGGCTGCTGTCGAGTAAATAAGAAGAAGCTGGAACTGCAGCAGAAGCAGCTATTGTTGTTGTTGTGCCGCACTCGCTCGGGCCTGTCAACATGCCACAAACTGACCAAGGTACGAGCAAGAGAGTCTAAGCAGCTGGCTAAGCCAAGTTAATGAGAAATGGGACCAGGCTTTAAAGCAGCCAACGCGCTGAACGTGACGCATGGCAACTACAAAGCGCAAATAGGCCGAGACAGCGCTGAAGAAAAGCGTGTATGAACTTTGCTAACGGGCATAGCCGACTGAGCCAATGCACTGGAAAGCCGAGAAATATGAGCTAAAGCAAAAACTAAATTAAAGACTAAAGTCAACTATGTTGACTTTCAAACTGTAAAACTCAGAAAGTGATTCTCAACAGCGCAACTAGCAGATGAGGAAGTAAAAAGAGGCGTGGCAGTCATGCTTTTCTCATAAGTTTCTCAAACTGCATCAAATACAAAGAAACGAAAACATAAATCAATTTGAATATTGTTCGTAATCGAATATACCCCACATAAACTTATGAAACAGAGTAGACGAGGCGCTGGTTAGAGGCATATGAGCAGCAGCAGCAGCAGCAGCAGCAGCAGCAACCGCCTTAGCCGCTTGTCCAGTTAAAAATTTAACGACAGTTGTTGCTTGCTGCGGCTAATAAAATAAAATGTGAGCCGCCACACACACTCACACACACACACACACAGATACAGACGCACAGACACACACAGCTAAATAAAGACTTGTTACAACAGCGAGCAAATGTTTTTTCCGGGAAGACATTCGAGCAAATGTTGCCGTTTCTGTTGCTGTTGTTGTTGTTGTTGTTGTTGCTGTTGCCACTGACAAACGCTCAATAAGTGCCACACAGAGCATCATTAAAGAAAAACTAAATAGCCGAGCAGACAGAGAAAGAGGAGCCCAACAACAGCCAAGCAACAGCGAAAACCCACCCACTCGCAAAGCTGGCTGTCAAACTGTGTCTGCGATTTATCTGCATAAAGTCAGCGACATTTGACATGCGTTTGTTATGTTGCATGCAACTTGGACGAAAAGCAAATCAGATGCTAACTAAGCGAACTGCCAGACAGGCTGACAAACCTGCCAGACAACTGCCAACAGAGGCAGACACAAACAGAAAGAGAGAGAGAGAGATAGCCATAGAGTGTGTAAGAGAGAGAGAGATACGTACACGGTAGCCTTTGCAATTTTCGTGGCTTTGCATATTTGGTGAAAATCGTTCAATCAAAGTCGAATCGCTGCAGCACGGCAGCAACTGTCAGTAATTTATGCTCATTTGTTTGTTGCATGAATAATTTGAATGCCACTTGAGAGCAGTTGCTCAGTCCCAACAGCGGCCATCATGAAAAATTGTATTTGACCACAAACAAGATTTAGCATTATATATATTTGATTTGTATGAAAGATCGAACAGAAGTGAGCCCAATGCAGCTTCAGCTGCAGCTGTGGAATTTGAGGAGAGCGCTAAGAAACTAAACTAACTAGAGTAAGCTGACATAGAAGGAGAATTGTGAAAAGCTGTGAAGGGACTAAGAAATAAATATCTAATCACATTTACTTTAAGCTATGCGTCTTTGCATCTCTTATAGAGCCCTTCTCTTTGCTAGGGTAAGAAATCCTTGCATATAATTTAGATAACTGTCGAAGAGTTCCTCTCTCTCTTTAGGATATCGATGGCTATCATCCGACCTCACCTGCTGCATCAACATAAGAACTTCACATACCCTATAATTGTGGTCCACATTGAGCTATAAATGAAGCATACCCGCTGCTGCCAGACTACAGCTGACCAATGCAGCCAAGTTAAGAGCTGAGTTGAAGACTTGTTGCTGTTGCCATTGGCCATTTATGGCTGAAGCGCGCGGCAAAGTGAAGCCTAGTGGAGTGGACTGCAGCACAGAGAGGCACATTAAACAGGCGTTTATAATGTGCAACAGAGGCAGCAACATGGGGCAGCAACACAAATAGTTTCAAATGCAGCACAAACCAATCAAATTGAACGCATTTTGTAGATGTTGTTGCTGTTACTGTTGTTGCCTGCTCCATATTGCTGTTGGTCGCATCAAAATAATTGGCTGCCTGCAGCAGCAGCAGCAGCAGCAGCCGCTGCCACTCGAAGCAAATCAAACTTGCAAGCCAATTGTTGCATGTCAGCTAGAGTGTTGTAGTTGTTGTTGCTTGTTGTGGCTGTTGCACTGGCAACAGTTGCTGCTGCTGCTGCTGCTGCTGCTGACCTGTTCAGTGCAGCTCGCCTTTAATAGTGTGAAAACTACAACTCGATATGGCAGCTGCAATTGTCTGGGCACTTAAAAGGAGCCCCATTGCACCCCATCCCCCTCGCTCTCGCTCTCCTACCCTGCCTCTCTCTCGCCCCTCTTCATCTGCAATCAAAATAAAGCGCATTGCACGCTGCAAGCAGTTGCAGCCAAAAGCCTGAAACGTGCCTGTCAGGCATTTCAACAATTTTGAATAGTTAAAAGACACACACACATATATCTGTGTGTGTTGCTTATTTATTTATGTGGTTTTTTTCTTCTTTATTTTGCTTGCCTGCAGTTCCCTGTAAACAATAACAAAACACATTTGTGACGCGTGATTTTGCATAAGTTGGCATCAACAGACGAGGCGAAGCGACAATAATACATAGAAAACAGAAACAGACACATATAACATGTAAAAACGACATGTATATCTATATGTATATGTATATGTATATGTATATGTATATGTATATGTATATGTATATGTATATGTATATGTATATGTATATGTGTATGTATATGTACGTAGCATATAACCCTATATCCCGCTACCAATCGTAAATCTTGGAGCAGCTGCCAAAAGTATGACTTGGCTGTTATCATACAAGTACCTGCGAGATACAAGATAGTTGCTCAAGAATGAACTAGATCTAATAAACTTAGCGTTAAACTACTAAAGAGGAAACAAGAATTAATTGCAATAGATCTATTAGAGCTTCTGGAAATTGTATACCAAATTTTATAGCTCTAGCTTGGTTAAGCTCTGAGTGTCTTGAGGACGGATCAAAGAAAACTTATCAAAATCGAAACAGTTTTTCTAGCTTTTACCTAGTTTTAGGCCTTTTATATCAATTTTAGCTCGAGTCTATACTTCCACACCCTCTACAAGGTGTCTCTGACTTCCTTGAAATTATCCAAAAGAAAAAACTACCTAAATTAGTTTAGCTCAATCAACCGATTTTAGTAACCTTTACTAAGCAAAAATTGCTTCCAGCTGCTTTTAACTGTATTTCACATCAAATATAAGCCAAGTCCAGCCGACCCTTTCACACTCCCTGCATATCAGAGGGTATCTTTGTGCTGCTGCAACTAGTTAAACAGAAAACCTATCTAAAGTAGTTAAGCTACATCTTTACTATTAATTCTTTGCTTCCAGCTGCCTTCGACTAGCTTTTACATCAAAGTCGAACCAATTCTCACCTACCCTTTCACGCACACTCCTTATTATAGAGGGTATTAAAGCTCATTATAGTCATGAACATTATTTAGTTAAGATCGTATATTCGCAAGTTTTTTGTTCGCATATTTTGGCTTATGAAGACATTTTTATGGCCAATTAAGCGGCGGCCGCAAAATCATAAATCGCCAAGCGAATTCAATTCAAACAGCTTAAAAACTCATTATGCAAATAAGCCAAGCCCCAAAAAAAATGAGGCTATAAAAAAAAGAGAGAGACAAGAAATTAGCTGGCTTTTATTTGAATTCAGCTTTTTGGAAGATCTCAATCGAAACGTAACCTTTAGCTTGCGCCTTTTACTTGTAGTGCAGTTAGGCAATTGTCGCCTGGCCTGGCAAATTGCTTGAACTAATCGACCTGGGTTTTATCTCGCTAATTGCTGGGTATCTAGCGTTGGTGTTGGTGTTGGTGTTGGTCTGAGCTCACCTGATCGCGCGCCAATTGGAACCAGGTCTTGATGATCAGCGCCAGTCGCGTATCGTGATAGTTCTTCGTCGTCTTCACACTGATGAAAATGTCATCTAGTTCCGTGGTGGGCGGCTGGGGCGTGGCAGTTACCGCACGCTGCGACAGATCGTGCAGCAGCTCGCCATTGCGACTGCGTCGCGCCAGCTCAGTGAGCAGCGTGGCAGCGGGTCGTTCGCTGACCTCAATGTCGCTAAAGTTAAAACTGTGTATGTCCTTGCGTATGATCAGCGAGGGCGTTATGGGCGTGGCCAGCGAAGAGGCTGAGTGTGTGGGTGGCAGCGAGCGGGGCAAAGCATGTTGTAGCAGCTGCAGCTGCGGCTGCGGCTGGGACTGCAGCTGTTGCTGTGTGGTCGTTGTGGCAGGTTCATTGCCATCCAGCTGCGACTGCGGCGGCAGCTATAGAGGGAGAGAGAGGGAGGTTAGAGAAGTTTTAGTGTGGGTTCAAATTGTGTTGTGTAAATGTGGAAGAAAAATAACAACAAATATATGTAGGTACATGTATATGAAGCGCTGCTATCGCCGACAGGCATTTTCACCTGGCAAACAAAAGGCGAACTTCAATCGCAAACAACAATGGCAAACAAATGAGGGGCAGCCAGGCAGGCAGACAGGCAGACAGAACAAACAAACAACAACAACAATCACAGCGCCATAAATGCTGAGTAAGAGCAAACAACAATAACAGCAGCGACAGCAGCAGCAGCAGCAGCAGCCAAACAAAGATCAGCTGCAAGATTGAAGCTTGAGCTTCATTTGGCTGCCCCCCTTTGCACCTGCCGCTCACCTCGTGTAGCCGCTAGCTCTTGCTTTGATTAATTTTCACTGATAACAGGTTCATTTGCTTTTGTTGTGCGGCAATTCTTCAATTGCTTATAAAAGCAGACCTCGCTTCATCTCTCTCTCTCTCTCTCTTTGTGGAGCGCTTTTATCTAGACTTTGAGCGCTTGGAAATTGGAAAATTTGGAATCTGATTCAAGTTTTGATTGAATTGAGCTGATAAAAGGTATTTCAAGCGTTGACTGAGTGCGGTCTAAGAGCAGAAGAAGTTGGGCAATTGACAAAAAGAGAGAGGGAGACAAGGTGGGGTCAGTTGCCAAGTGTTAATTTAGGCAAGCTTTTCCGCTATGCAAATCAACAGGGCGCAGCGGGCACTTCCGTTATACAGCATTGTATACCCTGTAAATTGCTAAAAGGTACGCTAAGAAAGGCCTGCGCCTTAAATGATAATAACTCTAGACTCTAAATTCGATGCAGATCAATGCTTGATCGATAACTCGAATCGATAAATCATATTAATTAGATACATAATATCGTTATATCCAATATTTTCTAATCTATTAACAGCTCGCTCTATAGAGTATCTTTTCGGCTATCAGCCGTGGCTTATATAAGCTCTTACAGTTATAGCTCTCTTAAAGCTCATTTGCTTGGCTTTTGTGAAACTGAAAATGGAAACATTTCTACTTTAAGCCGCCATCCACAGCGACGCCTAGGCCCCCCTCTCATTCGCCGTTTTTATTACAGGGTAAACGGGTCTTCAGCAACTGCTGCTACTGCTGCTGCTGCTGCTTCACACGATATTGTCTGCTTGATAGGGCTAAAGACTTGGCTCATACATTTTTATTGCGGCACGATCGAAAAACGGTGTTCAATATAATGGGCCAACGATCGAAAAGAAAGAGAGACAGAGAGAGAGAGGGAGGTAGAGAGAGAGAGCGAGCGGAAGGTGTAGAGTAAACCTCTCAGATAGAGAAGACGAGCTGCAGATGAGGTGGCAGCTCAGCTACTGCCTAATGAGCCGCAGTCGTCAAAAGAAGCTGCTGACAGGTGGCAAGTGCAAATGGCCAGGCGAAGCTGATTAAAAAGAGAGCTCAAAATATTAATTAATTTATCTCAGGCAAAAGTCGTGACCCAAGCAGTGAAAGCGAATTGCCAGCGAAACAAAACAAAACTTCAATCTGGTTAAGTGCAAATCCGGCTAAAAAGCAATTGAGTCAACAACAAGTTAACCAAGGCAGGGGCCTTGCATAGATTAGAATGTGAACCAGTTGCAGTTGCCGATGCCGATGCCGTTGCCGATGCTGATGCAACAGCAACAACAACAGCAAAAGCAACTGCTAATATATGCAAAAACGAGCCAGGGGTAGGGTATACAAGCCCAGCTGGCGAATTACTCGAACGTGAGCAGCGACAAATGCAATTGCAGAGAGAAACTTGAAGACACGTGTGTCCACATCTAAACATATAGACAAGCCAACAGTCGAGCACGCCTGCGCACACACGAAATAACGAAAACCCAACAACAAGATACAAGATACAATATAAAAGATACACACGCGTTAACAACAAACGTAGCAGCAGCACAGCGTCTAGCAGTTACCCTCTAAACTATATGCATGTCTTGCCTACGCTGTAGCTAGTCAAATAACTAAAGTAGAGCTAACGAATGGATAACCAGCTAGGCTTAGATTAACAAAAGCTACATATCGATATTTATCGGTTTTAGCATAAAAGGCTCAGGTGTCGGCAATTTAGCTGCATATATGTGACTTAAGCTCTCAGCAACAAGGAAACATCAGCAAAAAAATCTATTTAAAAGCTCGATAATTATCGGTTTTGTTGAATTAAGTTAATTTATCGATAACTCAACTAAATATACATATGTTATGTTAACATCTAGCTCTTACAACGACAGAATTTAGTTTTGAAAAATGTAATCGACACTTATCGATTATCATTTATCGATCAATAAGTTAATCTTTCTCGGTATCGGAATCGATATTTATCGATGTATACAAAATAATTATTTTGACGATCGATATTAATCGATTATGAATATAACTACCATCTACCTGTTACTTCTACACAACAAATAACCAGCCCTAACACATATTCGACAGATGTACAGGGTATCACATAGAGCAGGCAACAAGGCGCGTCGCTCAGGCGTTTGTTGTCATTGTCCAAAATTGTATACACACACTCAAATCATGGCCGGGAGGGATTGTGTAATGCTTCATTATGGCGATGATTAATATGTTTATAAACAATTGCCAAGTCAATTAATAATACAAATGGCCAAAACGCACACAACAATAGCCAGAAAAAGGTAGAGAACTGGCAAGGGGCGCTAGATTAATGAACAGCACTGTTAACTGGCAGGTCGAGTTGAACGTTTAAGTCTTCATTAAAATGCTGCTTAAGCAATATTAAACTGATAGATACAAATCTACGATAAGATACCAAACACAGAAAAGGAGAGAGAGAGCGAGAGCAAGACAGGTATAGGGAGAGACCATATGAGGAGCTGCGCAGCTCACTCAATTAAGTAAAAACCCGACCACCAAAGACCAGCAGCAGCAGCAGCAGCTACTCAGCTGCTCAGCTGCAGATACAAAGATACCAAGAGACACAGATACAACAAAGTATCTGCGCATCTTACAGATACATTTCAGCTGCTAACTTTTATCAGGCGCTTGTTCGCCGGCTTAGTGTCGTCAACTTTTTGGATGCTCAACACAAAACTGAACAACTGATTATGAAGAGTGGGCAAGAGAGGGAGGAGCTGGATTGAAGCTGGAGATGGAGCAGCAGAGAAGAAGAAGTAGGAAGTAGGAACAGAGGAGAAGAAGCTTGAGTAGAAGCAGCAGCTGCAGCTGCAGCCAGCCAGCGGCACCTGCGCAGGCAAAACAGGAATCAAAAACATTGAGAGCCTTGCCACAAATACCCTGTAGGAATTAAAACAGGAGAGGCTATACACTATTGAAGTGTGCCCAACAATAACTTGATTATGCTATGACTGGAAATAAGCATGTTAATGGACTGAACTTGAAATAAGTCAGCTCAGAGTCTAGTTTGAAGCTCGCAACTTAGCTCTCGATATACAATTTCATTTCGATAGCTAACTTAGTATAAAGTATATATAGTAGTATGTTATGCTACAACAGCTAGCTGCTATTTACAGAGTATACGCTAGTCGTGCAGACGCTACCGCCCTTCAAGAACACTCTCGACTTTATTTTGCCTTCTTGAGGCCATTTTTCGGGTTTTTTTGCGACTGTTGATTTGCATGCAAAGCAGTCATGAGTTGTTTGTTACGTGTTGCAATTGTTGTTCGTTTGTTGTTGCTGTTGTAGCTTAGTTAGACATGCTCATAGCGCACCACACGAATCAATCAAAAAACACAAGGCGCACACTTTAAACAAATTCGCATAAACAAATTCATTTATCGATTGAATATTTAATATGTATATCCAAATATATATATGTATGTATATATATACATATATATATTCGTGATGATTTATGCATAAGCAACACGCGACATTTAGCTGAGTGGAGGTCAATTGCTGGCTGGACAGCGGACAATGCTCAGCTTTTGATTGGACTGCAGCAAGCCAAAAGCCCAACCCAAGTTCCAAGAAAGAAAAAAAAAACTTGCGCAACTTCTGCCAAAAAAAAGAAAGAAAAAAAGCTAAAATTAAATAAAAGAATTAATTTTTGCAAAGCAATGCAATAGCTGGACACAAGTCACAGACCTCAACGAGCAACGACTTCAATTGAAATACGACAACAACCACAACAACGACATAAACAACAACAACTTTAATAAAGTCCAATTCAGCATTTGGACAGCAAAGTCTTCTATATATACATACATACATATGTGTATGTATGCCTGCCTTCTATATGAAGCACATTCCAAGTATTCTACATGCCACACATTGCCGGCCCCTTTTTCCGGTTAGCCAACAGCAACAACAACTAACAACAACAAACAGCAAAAAAGTAAAGAAACTCATAAAAAGTTTTTAATTATTTCTGGCCGCAAATTCATTTTAAAACTAGCTAAAATCTAGCTAAACTTGGCTTAGCAGCGCTATTCAACTATTTGCTAAACTTCAACAAGCAATTGAATTAATTCAATTAGACTTTAGAAGCAGAAGAAAAGACGAAGAAGCACGAGAAAAATGAAATAGATATAAATAATAAATAATTCTATGCATTTGCACATGCTGCGATTTCTAATGAAGTCAGCGCCAAACGCGGCCAAACTTCCGGCCTAAAAAAAAGCTAAAGAAAAAATCTAAAAAAAATGAAAATTTATAGAAAACAAAATGGAGTACGTATAAGCTTTTAGATATATATATATATTACTACATATCTATGTATAAAGTTACTAGTCTCAGTCGACTTTTATTTATTTCTATTTTCCAACTTATACAATACAGTAAATTGATATATGAGAGTCATATTTATAGATAAACAATTCAATTATGTAAACTGAGTTCTTAATGCTGATAAGATATATAAAGATATATTTTAAATATTATTATTTACATAAGGTTTCGATTTAAGCCCTTGAAACTGAGTGAAAAAATATAATGGGAATGACTTTCAAGACTCAATTAATTATCAGGAATAGGAATGCGATATAATTAAAATCTAAAAACACTATTCGTGTCTTTACAGGAATTCTTTCAACAGTTTCTTAAGCAGATCGGATTCAACGTGTTACATGCAGTTTCATAAAACCCTTATACCCTGTATTTCCAAGGTATGAAAGTTATACAATATCTTGGTAATAGTAAGAACGGGAAATTCAGATTGATAGATTTTACTGAAATATCTTTTATATCAGTTTAAAAATATATTTGGACATAACTATATCAAGCTTCATGAAAAGTAATTCCTATCAATTAAACTATATTTTACTATGAAAACATCTCATAATATAGCACCAAAGATTGAAAATTCTTCAAGTGAAATCTTCCAGCTACAGAACTCGGTTTCTTATAACAACAATAGCAACATTATATATGCATGCAAACATACTTGCATATATATATTTATGCTTATAAATAGATAAGTCCAGTGCAAGTCGGATTCTAGTTGGATCGGGGAATTGCAGCCAAGAAGAACTTTTGCAATATTAGCGCAGAATATTTTATTACACAGAAATTTATGCATAGCCCCAGCAAAAACAAAAACGAAAAGAAAACAACAATAAACTGAGTCAGAAATCAGAAATGCAAGGAAAAGGGTGGATGGATGGAGAGAGGGCGGTGAGGGGTGGCCAGCACTGAAAGCTTTGGCGACGCGTTGCCGACGGCAAATAAAAAAACCGAAAAAAACTGTTTTATATGCAAGGCAAAGGCAACGCAGCAGCAGCAGCAGAAGACATTGGCAAGGGCGCAAAAAGGTTTAAGAGCAGGAGGAGAGCGGAGCTTGGCTTGGCTTGGAGGCTGAAGTGGGAGAGGGACGCATGCGCAGCTGCAAACGCCGGTGTTGATTTATGAAAGTGCACGAAACGGGACAGAGAGCGAGAGAGAGATAGAGAGGCTGCTAATGGATCCGGCGGTAGACTAACATGCAAATGCGGACCAGGGCTGGGGTTGGCGAAGGGGGTTTATGGGCTTTGCACAACAACAATTTATGAACTCCCTATTGTGTGCGTGTGTGTGGGCGTATGTGTGCTGTGTTGTGTTTGTGTGTGTGTGTGGCAGCGCAGCACCCACGCAACGATCTCGCCGTGGCACAACTCACTTGTAGGCCCGGATATCCGTAGGCGCTCTGATAGAGCAATAGTGTCATATAGACGACGGCAACGGCGAGTGTCATCGCTTGCAGGATTCGTTTGTAACGTTGCGGCAGCGAGACAACAGTCAGGCTCATCATATGCTGGCGTCCTCTACGCGAACATCGATCGTGCGATCGAATCGAATAAACGATAAGCAATTAACGGTAAACACTGCACTCTAGTTTATTTTATTTTATTTTTTATTAAATATGGTTTTCAAAGTTCTTTGCACTTGTGATATTTTGAACGTTTGCGTATTTTACGTAAAACTCACGTATTATGCAAGCGGCACGCGCGCGTACGTCTTGCTTAGGGCGAGTTTGCTGGGCAACTGATGTACTGCGCTCGCCTTGGCTTTCCAGCGAACAGCGTAAACAAAACAAACGCAGCAAAACCTGCAAGACCACTCCGAACACTGAGCGAGCGAACGTGCAAACGAGAGAAAGAGAGCGCCCGACTTGATCCAATTGGAAGTGCTGCGCGCATTCTGCTGTGCAACAGAGATGGAGCGATAGAGTGAGCGCACTCAGTTTTCCAATGGGAGCACGAAAGCAAGAGAGCGGCATTCGTTCGGTCGTTCGTTCGTTGACTGGTTAGTTCCGCCTCGGCATGTGCCACAGTAGCTGCCGAAGGCGATGATCGTCGAGTGTAACTCAACGTGCGCAGCTCGTGGGCGTTAGCGCTGCTGCACTCTCTCTCTTTCTCTGCCTATGCCTCTGCCTCTGGCTATCTCTCTTGCGGCGTGTGTTATCCTGCTTGGCACGTCCTTGCACGCGACTTGCAGCCATAAACAACAACGACGCGGAGCATATCTATTTTTGCTGACTCTCTTTCCCCCTCAGTCTCTTCCAAGCGCTGCAGCCGACGACAATTCCATTAAAAGTTGTTCGTTGTCACTTTGCGTTCTTTTATCTGCGTCGCATGTTGTGCGATCGCATTTTTATTGTCGCCATTGTTTTGGGTCTCTGTCGCAGTTGCAGTTGCCGACGCCGACGCAGTCGCAGTCACTGCCCACACACACACGCATACACACACACTCGCACACAGCCATGCAAACTTCGTTCGTACCGTTTTTGTCGCTTTTCTTCACTTGACAGGGCTTTGCATGCCTTCTTCCAACGCCTCCTCTCTTCTCTGCGTCTCTCTAGTCTGTGCTTCGCCTGTCATATTCCATGTTTGTGGCGGCGACAAAAGCTCTTGCGGCTCTTGCTGCCAACGTGAACGCTGACTGCGCTGCTCACACAATCAGCAACTCGGCATCTTGTTCGCTGTCCCTTTGTGCGCCTTTCGCCTGAATTGCATTTAAAGAGGCGCAAACCGCGCTGCTCCGCTCTCGCCCCTCTCTTTCCATCTGTCCCTCTCTCGCTGCCCTGGCCCTGCGGCTAACCTTGTTCTGCCAACTGGAGAAAAAAGACATCGTCTACCATCGTCTGCCCGCCTGCTCGCCCGCGTCTTACGCTCTCCCAAATGCCTGTGTTAACCAGCCTCGTTGCTCCGCATGCTTCATTTTTAATGTGCAATTTTTAATACCCTGTGCACGTGTAAGCATTGTAGTGGGTATATTCTCATCTAAAAAAACGATAAGTATCATCTTTCAGTTTGTTAAGGCAAAGGACATAGAATTTCCAATTTCTAAATAAAACAGAAGAGAATGAAAAATTTACGGTAAATAGTTTACAGCTAAATACAGGATACAGGATATCATGCAGTCGTGCATTTTCTAGTGACTAACAGCGCAACTTGAGCTGTGTTTGTGTGTGTGTATTTGTGGTCCCCCTATTTGTGTGTGTGTGTGTTTGCATAGCTGCTGTGGTTGGGAGGGCATGTGCCACTGCCTTGTTGTTGGACCGAGTGGAGTGAAGTGGATTGGAGTTTCTAGTCCTGCTGGCTTGGCCGGGCCTGGCCTGGCCTGCACAAGACATAGCCGCGTTTTATCGCGCTGGCCTAAACCTTGTTAGGATTGTAAAATGTAAACCGAAGGCGTTGGTTGAGCTCCAGCCCCTGCCCTGCCCTGCCTGCTCTTCTGTTTTCTCCAGCCCCCACTCCTGATCTGGTTGCTAGTTTTTAGCTTTGCGTTGCACTTCAGTTGGCGCTGCGCCGCTCGACTGGCACACGCTGCAGCTGCCTGCTTAATCGAAAACGTTCGCCCTGCGGCTGCCACAGCGAGTGGGTGGCAGTCACAACGGGGCAATGTGGCAAGGGGGCCACGGCAAAGTCAACGACTGTGCGCGTGCGCCAAAGCCTTCGACGTGTTCATTTCTTTTGGTTGCTTCAGTTTTCGTTGAGCATAGGCAAAAATGATGTCCGGTAGTCATGCAACAGCACGAAGTGCGGCAAGGCGGCCTGGCTTGTGGCAAGAGCAATTGTGGCCAGACATATTTTTGAGTGACTGTCTAACGGATTGACTATGAAGTAAGTCATATGAATGCTTGAGATTTGCACAGAAGAGTTCAAGCTGTGGAGATTCTGATTGAGTGACGTATAGCTGGTGGAGAATCGCAGAGAAGGGAAGGAAGCAGATGCATAAACTAGTCGTATAAATGGTAGAAAGTTCGACTTCTACTCTGAATGACTCCACTGACAGATAGACAGCTAGACAGACTGCCTGACTAAGTAACCCATCTGAGTTGTATAGGCAACCCCCAAGCGTGCCACAAAACACGGCCACTGTGGCCACATTCATCAGTTTGATCTAGAAGAGCGGAACGTGTTTCCTTTTCCATATTTGATGCGCATATTGATGGCCACCGACACTAAGCAGCCGAGAGATTAATGGCTGCCGAATTAGTCAGTGTCAAGATATTTAGTGGAACAATTGAACTGTGCCTCAGCCTCAGCCTCGGCCGCAGCTCCAGCTCCAGCTGATGGGAAAGGCAGCCTCTGTGGCATGGCCTGCTTAACGTATGCCACACGTCGCCCACTGCCCATTAGGAAGACTCTTAAAGCCTCAAATGTACGTAAATTATACGTGTTTCAGCCAATTGCCAGTACAAGTTTATTGAGAGCCTGCATTGGAGGCGCAATCAAAATTAATTTCAACATTGTATTCCCATCGATAACATCGATCAATAACTGTCAACACGACGTACAATGCGCTACACAGCGAGCATATTGATTTGTGGGAATTGTTTTGGCCTATTTAAAGTTACTTAAACTGTATAATGAAAATGTGGACTTTGAGGAGCACAGAGAAGAGTAGGAATAGTTAAGCTTCTTGCACAATGAAATGTTTTATATTGGCTTACAGCCCGTATTCAGCTTATTTCTATTGTAATAGTCACAGAGAAAATCAGCTCAAGCTCCAAGTGACTTGAGACTCGCATAGAAAGGTAGATGCTGTATAAGCTAACCTAATCACACTGTTTAGTACAAAGCAATGAAAATCGCATAGAGAAGCGCTGCCAGTGCAAGTTTACTCCACATGGAATTTAATAACGTTTCTTGAGCTTGCTTTACTTCATAATCATTTGAGAATCGCATAGAAGCGCATACTTAGTTCGACTTGAACAACTTCTTTTGCTGTTTTGATGCTGCTCCCATATATAATATATAAATTTCGTTTCACCATTTTTTTTTTTGTAACAGATTTTCGATTTGAGATTTTTGTTAGATTTGAGTTTCGCTGCTGCTAAGAAGAAGAAGGTTAAGAAGAAGAGACCACCTGGCGTTCGCGGAGGCTAATTGCATTGAAGGCAACGCTCAGGCACAAAGAAATGCTGCCAGGTGATGATATCAGCATGATCAAGCACTTAAATAAGTACAAATAATGGAAGAACCCCTTCACCCTGTACCCTGAACGCTGCCCCCTGCCCCTGCCCCTGCCCCACCCTAGACACTCTTTGGCGCTTTGGTGAAGTTTACAATTTGTTGATTCAACGCGGCATGAAATCGTTTTTACAACTTTTGTTGAACTTTAATTAAACGATTTTTAGGTCTCTACCTATCTCGCTCTCTCTTTCTTGCCTCTTACTGAGGCTTAGACTCTGCCTAACTTAAATTACATTTAAGCGGATTAATTTTAAGTTTCGATTTGTCTAGTTTTTTGGGTTTTTCTCGTTTTCTTTTTCTTTGGTTTGTCAGCGGCTCTTGAAAGGTCATTAAATGTGGCTGGCTAATTTGTTGGCCAAATAGAGGACTACAAACTACGCACAGTTCTATCGCCCTCTCACTCGCTGCTTGGCTGGTTCCCAAAAAAAAACACCCTAATTTTTTCAATTTACCAAAGCAATTAACAACAAATTTTATTGGCTTTTAAGTTGTGCAAACACTTCGGCGCTGCACAATAAAATCTATCTGTGAGACACGCAGCAACACACAGAGACTGCCGCTATTGATCAAGTGTTTGACAACTCTTCAATATATGTTTTATATACCCAGCCCTTGCTTGTGATTAAAGAAGGGTTAGCTGGGTTTTTAGTGTGGCTTTGAGACAGATCACTTCATGTTCAAGATAGGCAATGATTGATATTTATATATATAATATTTAATAATACTATGCATGCTAGAACTTAGCCTGTCAGGTCAGCTGATAGATACATTGATCCATTGAAGATAACTCTCATATAGCAAGAACTCATCCAGCATTTTTGTACACTTCCATTTCTATAAACCACTTAATTTTTGGTATACACACTCATCTGATGGGTATATGAAAATGCTAAGAATTTTACATAAATGCAACTTCAAGTATTTGAGATTTATAAATAATTAAAATGCATCAAAACTCGATTCTCTTTGCCTAACTAGCATAGCTGCTGCTCTTGCTCTATTTATTCAAGCATCAGTTAAATGCGCAGTATCTTCTAGTCGTTCATTGCCCGCCTAGAGCATTTCTACTTGTTGGTTCGTTGCCTGTTGTTACCTGCGCACTGCAAGTAAGTATTTCAGCATTTCTTTAGAAACTGTGCAGCGAACCAGTTTGTTGTAGACAAACTCACGCTCTATGCCTATCCCTCTCTCTCTCTCTCTCTCTCTCTCTGTCTTTCGTTCTTTCTTTGTTTCTTTATTGCCCGCTGTTTGATTATGTGTTTCATTAATTAACAAAGCGAAGCTGACTCTTGAAGAGTCTAACTAACGCCGCATAGTAGATGCGATTCGATATGTCTGATTGTCTGGTTATATGAATCGTCCACACACAGCGTGTCAGCTAAATGCATTCTGCTCCCTCTCTCTCTCTCTCTCTGTTCAATATTTTATTTATATTTTTCTTTTTGCCAGCTACAATGAGGAGTCATGTGTAAATCTTGCGAGATTGAGGTTCGCTGCACCGTAGGTGCCAGCTTGCATGTTATGTTACCGACTTGCCGACTACCG